TGAGTGAACCTGTGTATGTTGACTTAATATACAATCTCTGTTTCTGTAACTTCAGCTGTTGAACATCTCATTCTGTGTGTATGTTAAACCTGTGTATGTTGGACCATTCATGAGTGAACCTGTGTATGTTGACTTAATATACAATCTCTGTTTCTGTAACTTCAGCTGTTGAACATCTCATTCTGTGTGTATGTTAAACCTGTGTATGTTGGACCATTCATGAGTGAACCTGTGTATGTTGACTTAATATACAATCTCTGTTTCTGTAACTTCAGCTGTTGAACATCTCATTCTGTGTGTATGTTAAACCTGTGTATGTTGGACCATTCATGAGTGAACCTGTGTATGTTGACTTAATATACAATCTCTGTTTCTGTAACTTCAGCTGTTGAACATCTCATTCTGTGTGTATGTTAAACCTGTGTATGTTGGACCATTCATGAGTGAACCTGTGTATGTTGACTTAATATACAATCTCTGTTTCTGTAACGTGTGCCCATTCACTTTGTGTGCTCATTGAGAGATCCATATATGAGGTGCCAAATAAATACATTGTTTCGAGATGGAGAAAAGACTTGGACATAGGCTACACATGCATTCCAACCACATATACTAACTTTGGCTCTTTTCTACATCCAAAGTTACATGATAACTATCACAACACGTTGGATAAGATCCTAGAACTTGCTACCAATGATGATGGTAAACACAAAGTGATTCAACTTGGGTTGATGAAAATCAAGGATGAAGTGAGAACAGTTCAATCAAGTAGTGCGAGTAATGTGCCATGTACTTTACTATCTTCCCATACTTTACCAAAAAGTCCGCCTCGTATCAATATTACAAACGAAAGCATGACTCGCAAGGTACTCAGTCCTTTGGTTACTCGCCGAAGAGGCCGTCCATGTACAAAACGGAAGGTTAGCAAGGTTGATACAATAGTGAATCGGTTGAAGGGAAAGAATAAGAAGGCTAATCCGGTACAGTTACATTTTTCATTCCGCACTACATATGTATATTGCAGAATTTGTTAAACTTCAAATATTCATCAATGTATGGTACTATAGGGTCAGAAGGTGCGTCAAGATGAACCTTGTAAGTTAAGCTTTCTTTGTACGGGAGGCGTGGAACACACTATGTATGAACAGGTACGCGTTAAATCAACCTTACTATTGTCCTTGTATGGATGCCATGGCAGATAGTATGTATGTATCAGTATGTGTTGAACGGACTTAATATATTGCACTTTGTTTGTTGTCGCTTGATATTGGTGAATATGTTTGTGGAATTTTTTTTTTAATATTTACTTTATTTTTACAGGCACCAGTTAGCACAATTGGGGACGACATTGGAAGCACATCTCATACTCAAGTTAGAATGGTCAACAATATTACCAGTCAAAGTTCGATAATACCATCAAATTTTGTTGACTTGAACATCGACGGGGATCCATTTTTTTTTTAGTTTCGAAGTGCTAATTGTAAACTTCGGATGGTTCACTAGAATGTCCCATTTTTTTGAGTTGAATGAATTTGTATGTTCAGTGAATTTGTTGAATTTCAACTGTTGAGTGAATTTCAGCTGTTGAACATGGACCATTCATGAGTGAACCTGTGTATGTTGACTTAATATACAATCTCTGTTTCTGTAACTTCAGCTGTTGAACATCTCATTCTGTGTGTATGTTAAACCTGTGTATGTTGGACCATTCATGAGTGAACCTGTGTATGTTGACTTAATATACAATCTCTGTTTCCGTAACTTCAGCTGTTGAACATCTCATTCTGTGTGTATGTTAAACCTGTGTATGCTGGAACATTCATGAGTGAACCTGTGTATGTTGAACTTGTGTATGTTGACTTAATATACAATCTCTGTTTCTGTAACTTCAGCTGTTGAACATCTCATTCTGTGTGTATGTTGAACTTGTGTATGTTGGACCATTCATGAGTGAACCTGTGTATGTTGACTTAATATACAATCTCTGTTTCTGTAACTTCAGCTGTTGAACATCTCATTCTGTGTGTATGTTGAACCTGTGTATATTGGACCATTCATGAGTGAACCTGTGTATGTTAACTTAATATTCAATCTCTGTTTCTGTAATTTCAGCTGTTGAACATCTCATTCTGTGTATATGTTGAACCTGTGTATGTTGGACCATTCATGAGTGAACCTGTGTATGTTGAACCTGTGAATTTCAGTTGTTGAACATCTCTCTGTTTCTGTAACTTCACTGGTGAGAGGGGAAGAGAAGTTCAGGGTAATAAATGGGTTGTAAAGAATCACACTGGGAAAAAGCAAAATCAGAAAAAGAGAGAGTTGTGTATAAAAGCTGTCTGCTAATTGTACCAAAAAATGAATGTAAATTAAGACATTCATACCATTCGAACGAACTTATACTTCTCCACACTGAAATTATTTGGTATCCGCTAATACCAAATAAGTAAAAATGAAGAAGAGATCGAGCAATGATCATCAATCAGTCATTTCAGAAATAAAGAAAAACTAATTCATCACCCTCTATCTATGCTGTGTATGTTCACTTAATACACATGCTGTGTATGTTGAACCTGTGTATGTTCACTTAATGCACATGCTGTTGAACATGTCAAAGAAACCTGTTATACACATTATTCATCACATAAGTACAAGTTCATTCATGCACATTATTCATCTCATAACAGAGCCTACATTCATACACAAATTTTTCTATTAAATAATACACACTGTTAATAATAGAGCCTACACCATCACAGATTTTACAAACCATCACATATAACACACACTGTTAAGTAACCAACATAATTCTATTAAATAAGCAACCAACAGATTTTTCACCTATTAATTAAGCAACCAACCAATAGATTTTTAAGCACCAACATTCATAGTAGAAAAGTAGATTACATTCATAGCATGTTCGAAAACCTAACAACTGAGCCATTTACATGATAAAGTACAAAAATACAATCATTGCCTTGAAAATCTTCTCTATCATTTGAAGCCTTCTATCATGCTCATGAATTGCATTGTCCATCTCACCAAGCCTTCTCCTTAGATCATTAATTTCTTCTGTTCTTGAATCTGTCCTAGGTCCAGCATTGGTACTGATTGTGGAGGTAACGTCGTCGTCGTCGTCATCATCATCTGCCCAACTGAAGTAATTGCAGTTTTCGTTCGCACTCTACAATGCACAAGAATCAGTTAATCAATAAATGACAAATGAAATTTGTAAAAAATAAAAGATTAATTTATATCACAGATACTTACATATTTTGTTGGGCAAACGAAAAAGACATGTCTTTCATTTCCATTCTCATTGGTTCGTACAATATGCATGGAAGCTGTTCATCCACAATTACACAATCTTGGCTTTAATCTTATGTTCCTATTATTAGTAGAAGATGAAGCCATTTTTTTATCTGCATCTATTAGTAGAAAATGATGTTCTTTCTATTTTTTTTTATCTCCCAACAGATTTAACAAATGAAACCAAGTTAATCTTAATAACAGAGTTCAATCTTGAATTAATTTGGTTAACAGGTTAATCTTCAATTAACTTTTCATAGAACTCTGCTATGGCATCCTCATATTTTAATCCACAACCTCAAGGTTATTGGGCCTCATTTTAACAACTGAACCATTTTTATTGTATCTTAAAAATGTATTATGATGATCAATTCAATTAAAATATATTTGGGACACAAATCAGTAAAGACTTCTAAGTTCAAGAATTGAATAGTTTTTGTTGGAATTTAGAATGTGTTTGTTCAAATGTGTTATCTTTGAATGAGAGATTTCGTTCCAAATCATGAATGTGTTTGTTCAAAAGTTTTATACTGATGTTAAGTATTTATCTATCTAGTTTTCTCTATGTTATCTCAGCAAGCAAACAAGTGGTTTTGGTTCATAAAGAGGGGTAGGGGTGCTGTGTGCTAATGAAGACCAAAGGGATTTAGTTTTATGTTAGAATAAAATGTAAGGGCAATTATATAGGAGCATGCAATTGAACCAATAACATAGCTAAGAATGATTTCAAATTAATGATCCAAAATCATCATATTATTTGCTTTTGTCTCAATAATGAATATTTTCTTGTATGGGGCTCACATAAAGGAGGGTCCTGCTTCTGAAACTGCAGTTTTGCGGTGGCCTTTTGAGGAGAACTGGAGAAGCTTAGTGTGTCGTGATGATAATGGATGAGGCAACACATGGCATGGAACCACATGCCTTGAGGTGACCAAAGTTTGAGCCTTGACATAAAGGACTGAGACACTATCTAGCATCTTAGAAGACCATGTGCTATTTTAGCAGGAAACATTGAGCAATCATATGGATTTATACTTTTAGATGTTAAACTCGGCTTATTGGAAATTTGGAAGTCTTGAATCATCATTCCCAATTCCCAAACCTACTTTGTTTTATATCTATTATAACAGAGTTCATTCTTGATAACATGCATAAAGGCAAATCCCAAACCCTAACACATCACAAATTAAAGCTAAATCCCAAACCCTAACACAAATTGTAACCAAAATCCAACCCCAAACACTCCCAATCGACTAATATCTACAAAAATTGAAGCCAAATATAAAACCCTAACTTTGCGATTTTTCATTTACCTCATATTCGTTGTCGCAGGTTCCCGTTCGTCCTCCGTTGTCGTTCGTCGTCCTCCGTCGTCGTTCATCATCCTCTGTCCTCCGTCGCCGTTCGTCCATCGAGAGGCGAGAGTGAAGAGATAGAGAAGAGAGAGGGATGAGGCGAGAGTGAAGAGATAGAGAGGAGAGAGAGATGAGGCAAGAGTAAGAGCGATGTAAGAGTGCTGATTTCTTTCAAGCTACAAAATGGAGTTGACTGCTAAGGCGGAGAGGAAAAAGATCAAGAGGAGAGAGAAATTTGTAATTTCAAGTTATTCGAGCCTGAAATATTCGAACTACGGACCATTTTTGAATTCCCTATATGTTAGGCAAAAATTTAATAATTGATTAAAATGTTATAATTTATCTGACATTCAATTTACAATGTTACTCTTGAATCCAACCGCGCACGCCCCAACGCAAAGCCTCAATCGACTTTGATTCCTGACTTTCTTGTGAATCCAGCCAAGTTCTCAACACCTCTCTCTCTCTCTCTCGCCTTTGTTTTTGTTTTCTCTCTCTACGAACTCTTCATTCCAGAGTCAGAGTGAGAGAGGGAGAGGGAGAGGGAGAGAGATGGATTCGGATCAGGAATTGCCGGAGGGGACGGTGCAGAACATACTGGAGCAAGAGAGTCTGAAGTGGGTCTTCGTTGGAGGCAAAGGCGGTGTGGGCAAGACAACCTGTAGCTCAATCCTTTCGATCCTTCTCTCTAGGGTTCGATCCTCTGTTCTCATTATCTCCACCGACCCAGCTCACAATCTCAGCGATGCCTTTCAACAGCGATTCACCAAAAACCCTACTCTCGTTAATGGCTTTACCAATTTGTACGCCATGGTATTCCTCTCATTCTCTCGCTTTTGCACTTTTACTTCTGTTTTTGTTTGTTTTTTGCTTTTGCCTGGCTCAAATTATTGGCCTATTTGCCTCTTGTTTTTGATGAATTTTGAGGGTGTTCGAGGCGTTTAATCATTCTTTTTTGGGGCAAATTGTGGGTCTTTGATGAATTTAAGCAATCCCCAGTTCAAGATTATTATTTTTTTTTCATTGTCTTCAGTTCTCATGGACATTTTTGTTCATTTGTTTGATTTGATTGTTGTTACTTGTGTGTGCGTAACTTGCAGTTTGTTAGTGTATTGATAGCTTAAAACTAATACCGAACTAATGCCTCAATTCAAATAGAATAGCGGTTTAATTTGGGTGTCAAACCTCAGGAACTACGGCCCCATTTGACTGTCCGGATTGGATGTAAGAGTTTGGGGAGGATATGTACTGTGTCGGGATATATGATAGCATACAATATGTTTAGGATATGAGATGGATTATATATATTTACTTTTACTATGTTTGGTTATGGTAGGATATGATATGGGATAAGAAGAAAATAAAAAATACCAATTCTCAAGTTAATTGGGAGGAAGAGAGTTGTTTGATTGTTTATAACTAAACTTGCAAATTAATTAAGGGCAGAGTTAAACTACCATTTAATATGAGTGAGAAGACTCAGGGCATCGAGTCCACCACCAGTTGCATAACTAGGGCTTATCATACTAATCTGAGATAAAATTACTTGTTGTGATCATGACTCATTGTAGCTACATACCTCATGTATTTGAGTCGTCGTTATTAATTATCTTTATCTTTGATTAGCACAGATTGCCTAAAAGCACGACTCATCTTTTCTAGGCATTTTTCATCTAACTACACAAATACATGTACAAGTGAAACCATTGAATTCAAAATCACATAAATTAAATACAATGTGATGTGAAATTTAACAATAGAAATAATTATATTAAAAATAATTTCAAGATTGCACAATCATCATATACAAATAATCAAATCCCACAATACAATAGGATACGAACCTTAGTTACTTGATTAAGATTTTATCAAAGCTCTGAAGTGAAAGGATTAGTTGCTCATTGTGATGGAGAAAATCACCACTATTTCTATCGAATCCATCTTCCTAGCCTCGGAATGCCTTCTTCCTTGCCGCTTGAGCTGCTCTCCAACATTCAACACCTATTTTTGTTGCTAAGTTGCCTTTTTATTGTTCCATGCCAATAAGGGTTAAAAAGAGTCCAATCTGTGTAAAATTTTGAAATTCGCGTCAACCATTACTCAAGAGGCCAACTGCTGAGAAGTGAAATTTGAATTCTGAAATTTTGAGCCTTGCAATATCCCACCGCTTGAGTGGGTTGGGCAGTGGAGAGCTATGATTTCTTCTTTATTCTATTCTCTGCTCGGTTCATTCAGGTTGCATTCTGGTCACTCCTTTGAGCCTTTAAGCATCCAATTTAGGCCAAGTTTGGGAAGACTAAATAAGTGCACTTTTTTACTTTTTTTGTATTATGTGTAGAAAAAGTAGAGAAGTGATGTTGATTGATGTGACCCAAAAAAGATAAAAAGATGAAATAAGTGCACTTTTTTAGGTTAGCCAAACTTGGCCAAGTTTCATGGAAACGGCCCTTGTGTCCTGCAATTATGCAAAGAGAGTAAAACAAATCAAATAACAAATGTAAATGTCATAACAAGTGCATGTTAGAGGGCCTAAATGTACACATTTCGGCATTGGATCATGTATTGTTTGGCTTGCACAGTTAATTTCTTCAGCCACCATTATGGTGTCTGTTTGTTCTCTCTCTCTCTCTCTCTCTCTCTCTCTCTCTCATGGGTTATCATTTGTTGTTGTTCATTTATACTATATATGCATGTGTGAATCAAAATTACCCAAGTTTAATTGATCTGAGTTTCCATTTTCATCTAAAAAATAAAGAATAAGATGCAACAGTCAGGTATTGAAGTTCAGTGATTGTTTAGTTTGTTTATGAATTTAATTTACATGGCAAATTAACTGGATTTATTCCTTACCCACAGTTGGGGAATCTGTGTTTCTATGTCTTTTAGAAGAAAGATTGGATCACAAGGTTTATATGACCTTTTGACAACGGGTTTCATCTGCAATTACTTGATTATTATCCATTCGTTGGTTTTTGCCTGTGTGACTTGATCTTTATGATTTTTTTTTTTTTTTAACTGTGGTTTGATATTATGTCGCCTCACTTTTTATGGTTTTGTTTGGTTCTTCTAGGAGGTGGATCCAACTGTGGAGAATGAAGAGCCACCTGGTTCAGATGGAATGGATGGGTTTTTGTCGGAGCTAGCAAATGCAATTCCTGGAATTGATGAGGCTATGAGCTTTGCCGAAATGCTTAAGTAAGCACCATGTTTGATATGATTTGATAGCTCTATATACAGCAAATATCTCGATTCACAATCCTTTGATTCATATTGCAAGTTTGATTGAGATGGCCAACGGCAACCAGTTTGTATTCAACAATCTTAGAAGTTTGATGATTATTTTTTTTACTTATGTTAAATGAAACAATCAATTTGTCAAGGAGCAACACTATCTCCATGAAGCAAACTAATTGAAGTAACATTATGGCAAATTAAGATATTACAGAGTAGAAATGATTTGAATTTTTTTAGAATGACTGGAATTCTAGCTATCATCAGGAACCCTTTGTAGCCAAAAATCCACAATTAAAAGGAATTAGCTGTAGCCTATAAGAGGTAATCAAATCAGCTTGAGAGATGAGCATGTGTTGGGTTAGGACGCCAAGTGCATGTTTTCTCCCGGTGTATCAATGGTAGATTAGCTTATCTCATATATGATGTTAGAGAAGTCAAGATGAGATGCCATCTGTCCTGCCACCTGTAAGAAATTGAAAATATAATAATTATGATGTTTGTAAAGATAACCCTCAACAATTTGTCACCCTCGGTGGTCGTATAAGTATACGGCACTCCTGATTCGTGAATAAACTCTCATCATTGCTGCTGAGGTGTTTGGGATTATTATTGCTATTATTATTCAAATTGTTTTTCTCCCTCATAAGCCCCACCAATGTTTTTAACCATGAGACAAATTTTGATAATTGACAACTCAATTTACTGGTCAGAAGCTGACTTCATGTAGTGGTTTAATAGTTACAAGTTACAACAGCTAATGGGTAGGCAATGGTGGTTAGGAAAGAGTTTTCAAGTACAGTAGTGATGCTGATGCAACTAGTACCAATTGGGTGTTGATTGCTGGCATAGCAGGTTGCTGAAATTTTTTTGAGGGCTAGTTTGGGAACTAGAATCCATAATTTAATTTGCCAAGGTAAATTCATAATTTTATGCCTGATGATGCAAACATCTGTGTTGTGGAGCCATGATTAAACAAGAATATTCGAAAAGTACGAGGGGTAGATGATAAGGCTGAAGGTTAAGCACATGTTTCAATTGTAAAACCATAACTTTTATACTAATTTGTTACTATCTTTATTAAATTCATAATTTTGAATATTCTTGTTATAATAATATCACTTCAATTGTTTGGAAAGTTTCATTGAGCCGAATTGTTTAAGGCTTTGTTTGGATGAGTATGAAAAAGTAATTCGACTAGTTTCTGGTTGATGTACTTTTATGGGGTGGACCAAAACCTACATCTGTTATATTCAAGATCTTAGTAGTAGGAAACTCCTATGGGGGCCTCATTCCTACCCCCGTTCCCAACCTTAAAATCTTCTATGGGGCCCTTGCTCTTGCTCCCACCCCCGTCCCCGCTCTCGCTTCATGCAACTATGTTCAAGATGACAGCTGGATATAGAAAACCAAGAAATTTAGAAAAATATTGAACTAAATTTGTTCAAATTGGGCAGATTGGAGATTGCAGGTCAGAGCCTCCTTCCCTTTTCTTAGCTTATTAGTTTAGTTACTTGAGAAACCTGTTGCAGTACATTAAAGCTGATTCTTTTGAGCTGACTTTAACTCTTATGTTAGCTGCACTTGTAGTTGTGGCTCTTAAGCTTGTGAAAATTTGCTAGGAACAGTAATTTTGAGCTGCAGCCTGCAGGTGACTCCATGATGTAATGTAACTATTGGCTTTTATGTGTTTGTTCTTTGGACATGTGAAGTAACATCCTCTTGCTGCTTTAGTTGTTTAGGCAGCAAACATGCTTTATAAATTATAGTTTACTAGTGGTCCTCTTAGTATTTATGGAATTTTGTGAGGCTTTATTATTATTATTATTATTATTTTACCTTCAGAATTCATTACATAATAAGGGGAGTAGGGGCTGGGATTGAATCCCGGTTATGAGCAGCCAGTGGGCCATCCCAACGCTTTGTGAGGCTTTAGCTTGTTTATGCATGAATGTATGTTAAATATATACAGAAATGCCAAAAGAACTTTATTTTTTGAAAAATATTTATGTGAAATTCTGTGATAGCGTTTATGGTTTTAGTGGATAAACTCAAGTATATTACCTTTAAGATGGTCATTTTAAAGTTATTTGTATAAAAAAAATTGCTCACAGTGTGCTCATGCACATTTTGTTTTGTTTTTTCTCACACCATAAAATGTCATATGCTTCATATGTTACTGACTAATCTTTTTCTTTCTTTCTTTTTCAATGCTTTAATTTTGTTTCTGCAGATTGGTCCAAACAATGGATTATTCTGTAATAGTATTTGATACCGCTCCCACTGGCCATACTCTACGGCTATTGCAATTTCCATCAACGTTAGAGAAGGGGCTAGGCAAAATGATGTCCTTAAAGAATAAATTTGGCGGCTTGTTAAGTCAGGTATTATTATGATTATTAATTATTAATTATTTTTCATTTAATTTTGTGTGTGAGACTTTTTATTTTTGGAAGTCGCGTTGTGTGTCAAAATATTTTAGTCATCACTTTCCCATAGGATCCTTCTTTAGATACATGTTTAAATACAATCCTATTCCATAAATTTATTCAAATAAGACAGTTTAAATCCAACCAATTCCTATAGTGGCATTCCTTCCATCATTTTTTTACATGTTTGTAATTTATTATTCAAAAATGCCTTTATTAAATTGCATCAACTGGCACATAAATGGGACGAAGAAGTACTATTTATTCTCTGGACCCTGCACTAGCGGGAGCCTCATGAATTGGGCTGCCCTTTTATTTTGGTTTACAAATGTTTTCAATTAATACGTGTTGGGGATCATATTTACACTTGTCAGTGGATTGGATATGCTATGTCCTAATCCAATCTGATAAGGCATAATATTGATCTGATCCAATCCGATTTGATTATCCTATGGATCTAAGAAATTCTAATCTAAATCTGATTAGGCCTTTTACTTAGATATTTGGTTCGTTTATCCAACCGATCATATCCAAAATTTGATATTGGGTAATTAAAATCTTATGCATATCCTCCTTTTTATTATTGTTTTTTTCTTTTGATAAATAGCTATGCATAACCTATAGATAGTTTCAATATTCTTAATATTTTCCTAATTTGTATTCCACAAGCATGACAAAAGACCTAAAGTTTGATGAAGCTTAATCCTTATTTAACTCTTTGTTTTCCACCGTGTGTTCATTTTTCATCAAAAAGTGGCATACACAGAAAGACTATTGAGATTGGATCAGTGTATATTTATTTCTAATTTGTTAGCTAAAGGTCCTAACGGATTTGGATCGGATTCACATTAACGGATAAAAACCTTCAATCCGTATCTAAGTAATTGGATTGTATTTGTAGCAATATCCAATCCATTGATAGGCCTAGTGTAGCATATTTGGAGTTCTATTCACTATGCTTGGTTACCACTTTTCAAAAACACTTTTCAGAAAATTCTACTTTCTTATTTTTCGTATTTTTTTGTTTTTACTAAATTTTTTTAATATTTTGAGTAATTTTTAAAATTTTTAGACATACCTAACATAAATATACCTAAAAAGTAAAAAAAAAAATTGAAAAAAACCTTTTAAAAATTCACTAAATACCAAAAATACAAAAAAAAATACGAGAATTCAGTACATTTTTTGTATTTTTATGTATTTATTAATTTTTAAAAATATTTTTTCACAAATTTTTTACTTTTTAGATACATCTAAGTAAGGTGCATCTAAAAAAGTAAAAAAATATTTAAAATTTTAAAAATATTCACTAAAAACAAAAAAAACACGAAAACCAAAAAACTTAGTTTTCAAAAAACTTAATTCAAAAAACTCAAACCAAACACACTGATTGTTTCTTATCCCATTTTTTCGAATATAGGGATAGATGATATCAATTGTCAATAACCGCAGTATATGTTGTATAGTCAATAAACCTTTAGTCCTAGATTGATGGATATGTATTTCTCTTGGCTAATCTATTAATGTTTGTTGGATGAGAGTGACACATCTAGTCACTTTGAGATGTGTGTTTACTCTCTGTGATATTTCTTGCTGCAGCAAGAACAGGTCCTTTTGAGGGATGGTTCTCTCTCTCTCTCTCTCTCTCACACACACATACACACACACACAAACAAACAAACAAACAACAAACAAAAAACACAGACATCCCTGCACCTGCACCATCATTGTCATTGTAGTCAATGTCTGTAAGCCTTTTTCTTTAGTATGGGTTTTTTCTGTGTGATTTGGCATTTCCTGACATTTATAAATTAAATTTTACTTAAATGCTCTATTGTGTTGTAAACTTCAAACTGTTGTTCGTAAGACTTAATTTTTTATTTTTTTTTATTTTTTTGATTGCATGATCATGTAACTGACTAGAGTTTATAATTTTTAATGGCAGATGACTCGCCTTTTTGGCGTTGATGATGAATTTGGCGAGGATGCAATTCTGGGGAAAATGGAGGGCATGAAAGATATCATTGAACAAGTAAACAGGCAGTTCAAGGATCCAGTAAGACCTTCGATTCAAATAGTTCTTTCATTAGAATGGATAGCGTAAATGTTTGTTGCCTGTTGTTGGATAGAGATTGGTTCTGTTAAACAAATGTATTACGATAAAGTAATTTTCTTTAAAGCTTAGAAACCATTCATCGACCTTTAGGGGTTTTAGGCTTTCTTGGTGCTGAGTTCAAATGTATGTGAATCTCTATTTCCATAGTAAATATATGTCCAAGAAAATACAGAAGGGGAAGTGGAAGGAGGAAACTGGGGTTAAGTTAAAAAAGAAAAATGAATATGATGTTCCCCATATCTTCAAAAGTTCAACTTCTTTCCAGTTGGGAGAGAAGACTAAACTGTACAGTCTGAGTGCTATGGGCTCACTGCAGGGACCACTTCGATGATACAACCCATTCATTTTTAGGCCATTGTGTATGGGTAATTGATGAAAAAAAAATCAGACTAATCTGATAATCATAGTCATAGGGCCATAAGATTTTATTACATTCGTCTTTAAATAAATGGATGACAAGTATGATTTTGAAATTTTTTTTTGAAGACGTGATGAAACCTTGTGGCTATGATTATTGAACAGTTTGATTTTTTCATGGAACAGTTTAGGTCCTATGTTGGCACTCACCAGCACAGGAACTAAACTGGACAGTCCTGTCCAATTTTACTTGAAAACATTAATACCCTGGTGACTTACGTATTGGTACAAACGTTACGAAACACGATACACTTCCATTTCAAAATGGTAAATTTAGTGATCTGAAATTATCTCAAAAGTTTTTTGCAATATTTTTCCTTAAATGTTACCTAACAAGAAAAAAAATCAAATATATGAACTAAAATCTAAGGTGAACTAAGTTTTAACAAGAGAAGAAATCAAAAATTGGTCATAATTTTCATAGAAATGATTTACATGCAAAAATATATATAGATATATATATATATATATTATTGGATCCCTAATAGTTTAAAAAAAATTACTCTAGAAGTACCTTAAATTCTGAAGTGCAATATATATAAGTTTACTCTTATCATACTATATTTTAAAGCATGTCGTGTGTCACCTTCCTGTTCCCGTTCCATGTACTGGAATGATCCATGTTCTAGGTAATATAGGTCCAGTCTTCTCTCCCAACTGGAGAGAATCTGAACTCTTTGGAATAATGGATAGTAGTCAGGATGATTTGGAGAAGTTTCCTTAAATGTTTTTTGTGAATATATTTTGGAATCATTGCTTTCGGAGTATTATATTCCATTTTGGGCATGTTCATAAGAAAATATTCAATCTTTCTTATTCTTTACAATTTAGCAATTTTTTTTTCCCTTTTTTTAATGCCTCACATATCTGTTGACAGGACTTGACAACGTTTGTCTGTGTTTGCATTCCCGAGTTCCTCTCTTTATACGAAACAGAGAGACTGGTGCAGGAACTCACAAAATTTGAGATAGATACTCACAACATCATTATTAACCAAGTACTTTTTAATGAAGAAGGTACACTTATCTTTTCCAATATACCAGGACTGTTTCAATTGAAATTCGTGCTTGAGGGGACATTTTATCTATTTAATTGGCCATTCTTGTTATTGTAGCTGTCGAATCTAAGTTGCTCAAAGCTAGAATGCGGATGCAACAAAAATACCTCGATCAGTTTTACATGCTGTACGATGATTTTAACATTACTAAGCTGCCATTGCTGCCAGAAGAGGTAAATTATGAAGTCAAATTTTTTTAGTTATATGCATATATATCGAAATTGAATAGAGTTGTAATAAAAATCAATGGAGCTGAACCGACCGCTTGAAACAGACGAAATTTTTGGTTTTGGTCCGTTTTGCACGATGCTTTGGTTCTGAAATTTTTTTCACCAATACCAATTGAACTAGCTGAAATATTATATTTAAATACGTTTGTATTCAGATTTTTAAAGCATTAAAAGATAAGTAATCAATGTTACAAGTTTTGTAATAAATGTTAGCGAGGGAAGCATTTCTAGAGTTGCTTCCATCCTTTCTCTTCATTTATTTCCGAGGTAGAATGCGGTTGGTTTTGGTTCCTCAATCAATACAACCGAATGGTTTGGTTTGATGCTAATTTTCTCTTAACACCGACCGAACTGAACCACCCCCTGAAATTGGAATGCATTCTTATCATTTATAATGTTGCTCCATTGCGACTTGGGCGCCACAGGTTCAAACTACGAATCCATAATGGGCAAGGCGCCGGAGCTGACCTTATTCTTTGTGATTTTGTCATGAGCACAATTACCATGAATAATTTACAAATTGATTATAATGCTTAATAAATTATAGATTCAATATACTCAAGATCTAAAGTTTACTAATTTTTTCCTCTATACAATTGAAGGAATTTTACTGCTTTTTTGTTAGTCCCTGATAATTAAAAATGATATATATATGTATGGATATGGATCACACAGGTTTGTGGTGTAGATGCTCTGACGTCATTTTCATGCCATTTTACGTCACCGTATCAACCTTCCATTGATGAAGGCACGGTAGAAGAGCTGGAGAAGAGAGTAGCAACTCTGACAGAACAGTTGAAAGATGCCGAAGCAGAGCTAGAACGTCTTAGAAAAGGAAAGCAAAAGGTATGATGATGGAAATGAAAGAAAAGGTCTGACCATTCTCTTGGCGACTATTGTGTTTTTCTTTTCGTCTCTGGCTTTTTTTTTTTTTTACACTGAAGTTATTATGTCCACAAACAGGCAGATACAAGTCTATTATTCATTCGATGCTCCAATTATGTTTGGAGAACCATAATCTCATTCTTTTTTGTTTTCTTTTATATTTTTGGTGCCTTTTAGGTGGATGGGGTAATTTGCTATTATTATGTATGTCATAATCAAGTGATGTAAGCTGTCTAATAAATGAAAATGCAAAATTGTGATATTACAAACACAAAACTATTTCAGATTGCTATTTAGCAGGATATCATTGGCATAGAGATAACTTGGGGCATGTGGTAGAAGTATGATATAACAACTATTTAGATTGTTATTAACCTTTTGATTAATTTATATTCTTCTTCATGTTCAACAATCAAAGATTCAAGGTTGGTTATTGTTTCTGTTAAAATTTTGCTCAAGTGCCTGCAAGTGATTCTTTTTAAGTTACTTTGAGCTATGAATTAGATAGTCAAATTTACGTACTACTTTTTATGAACATTCATTCATTAACATTTAGCTGCTATGCATCGCAATATTCATCATTCAACAAAATATATGAACAGGGTAATACAAGAAATTTATTGTGCAATTTTCTGGAAGATTCATGCTACACGGTTACACTTTACAATAGTGTTGTTTCTAAACTACCACACAACCTCTTGTACAATCACAAATAAGTTGGTTTCTAGGCTCACTAACTAACCCCGCGATACCAAGCACTTAATTTGTTAAACTCAACAAGGGCTCCAGTGGTCTCTATAAATGAGGTGATAATGTCTTGACAATGCCTCTCCATTTTGTTTCAGCAAAAAAATATTTTTCCTACTAAATTTTTTATTCAGATAATGTCAAGTCTGTAGAAATGTTCACTTATGTTTGGTTGCATTCTTAATATTAAATTAATGTACTAATTGTTGCATTAGTGATGGTGATAATGGCGCAATGGGGTTGGGGTGGTGGTAGTGAAGGGGTGGAGGTGTGGTGGTGGTGGTGATGGTAGTGGTAGTAAGTGGTGGGCATTGGTAAATTTTAATTTGGAAAACATTTTTCACTTAAAAAATACTTTTTGATCAAATAAGTTTAATTTTTTATTGATTAGGAAAAATATTCCTTTTTTGTTTTTTTTTGTTTTTTTTTTTTGTACCAAACATTAAAAATTATAAAAAAAATAAACACACAATGCGTGAATGAAAGTAAAGAGCTATTCACCTCAACTCCAAATGAAGAGGAAGATGCACTTTGGCGACTTTAAAACTCCATCAAATGTTGAGATTGTAAAGTTTCTCAAGGTGTAGAGTGGTTGTAGGATCATTCAAAAGGTAAAAAGAAAGAATAAGCTAGTTTTTTCTTTTCAAGGAACACAGGTATTCCGTACATAACCAAGTCCTCAAACATCTAGCATCAGTTATAATTTTAAGGGTTAAAATTCTGTTAACGTGTGCTCTTAGTGTACAAGTTAAGACACTTAAAAGAAACTCTAAATTCGTAGAAAATGAATGCAATAAAAAAAAATGTATAAATTAGCCACATAACCAGCTGAACATTACAGTATTATATCCCATAAATGCAGAGACACCAAGCATCAACCCATATCATTCATATATTTTGTTATTCTAAAATACAAAATCCATACTAGGCCGAAAAGCAGTCTAGCTCTACCTTTCTCAAATATTTTAATACAATATTTTGCAAACAGGGCTTGTGTGAAACAATAACAATCTGTTGTCAACAAGTGCAATATCAATGAAGACGCGACATGTGAACTATCCACCATGCAAGGTTGAAATGAAAACCACTACATCCTTCTCTTCCAGTGTTGTATCAAGCTGCCCGCTTAGTTCCCAATCACAATCATTCACAAGGACTAGAACTCCAGGTCTCCTGCACATAGAACATTGGTTAACCAAAGTAAACCCATCATGGTTTAATTGAAGGACAACACATTGTTTCATCAATTAAAGATGGCATTTTTCGTGTTTGCCCCAACATGCCAAACACATATGGGCCCAAACCATCCAACCCTTGTGTGGGGACATGGGCCTTGAAAACAAAGCTGAAGCCCTTTCCAACACCACACACCAATTGGTTTTAGAAGAGACGATTAAGGGAGAGGGACCAAAGATCCTAACAATTGGTATCAGAGCACATATCGTAGGTTCAAGACTAGGGTTGTGTGAAAAACTGCCCAATCCGCCGAACTGCCTCGACCCTATCGATCTACCCAGCCATCTGCAGTTTGAGAGGGTTGGGTTGGCCGGGTTAAGTTGATTTTTTTCCACCTAAATCCACTATGTATTGACCCATGCACAGACCTATTAAAGACACCCATGGGCTCAAGTTTAAGTCCCTGATAATACCAATTCATTGTAGGAGAAGATAGTGGAAGCAAGGGGCACAAAGATCCTAACACTAGACATTATGAAACAGTTGCTTCTTTTATTCTAAAAATGTCTACACACACACACAGATATATGTACACACTTGGGCAAGACAAAACCTTCAAATTTAAGGATCGCGAGTATTGTCCTACTTACACGGAATCTCCTTTCATAAACATTTCAGGCCTCTCCTTTATCAAATTGGTACGAACCCAAGCAAGAAGATCCTTCATGTTCAACTGTGAAGAATATGCAATAGAATCAAAATGATATTCTAATCAAATGATTAGAAAAGCAAATAAAACTCAATTTTGTGCTGCACCTGGTACACTGCTACTTAAGAAAAACATTTACCTTATCTTCTCCATCTTGTGGATTAACATTGACCTTATGGATCTTGACAGAATCGCAGAGCAGTTCCAGCCCTCCACTTCATGAGAAAATTAACAACGCAATAGATTAAGAGAAAGTAAAATAGTAACCAATCTAGAACACAAGTAGGGAACAGAAATTAAGAATAACACTACTGCAAAAGACTGCTGATTAGATAGATACTAATTTAAATTATATAAGTCGTCACTATTATTAAACATACTACTGCCTCTCCTTATCCCTATGTCAGAGGTTGGCAACAGAATCCCTATTCTGCCCATTCCAATCCATCAAGATTCAAAAGCCATGTTGCATGTGTTTGTTCTGTTAAATCTTAAATACAATGGCTACATTTTTCAGGACTACCATGATATGACACTTGAATTGTAAATTAATTATATCAGACCATAAGGCATAATTCTGAAAAAATTAAATAACAAAATCAAAAGTTATCTTGCTTTAGTATTTGTCTCAAGGTTGCATCAATTTATCATCAAACCTCACCAATTTCTAAACACTTCAATAAGTCAAAGCTCAATGAAACTCCAAATTTAATTACCACTGAAGCGAGGCATCTCCAATCAACACCACTCTAGCTTCATTTAGCTATTGTGTCTCTATAACACCACTCCCATGAGTTTGTCCTTCTCATGCTTTCAAATATTAAAGAGCATTAACAACCATATATGTTGTTTTCACTCACATATATTAGAAATCATTACAGAAACTGTTCAATCTCCATCATGCTTTCTCCAGTTGTACTCTTGGAAAGTGAAAACATTATTAAGAACTCTCCATGGAGGATGGCAAATGATCTGACTATTTTCACAGGAGATTAATTTCTCAATTAAAAATGACCAAATCAAGTTTTTTCCTTGTGAGGGAAGTTCCAATATTAGAGGTTGTAGAAGTGAAAATAGAGGAAAGACGGTGATTTAGGTAGAATAGACTCCGTAGAGGAAGAAGAATGGCATGGTAAATACAACTCTTCCAGACTGCCCAGAAACAGGATCAAGTTTCCGATGAATCTGATCAATCACGTCCTATGTTACACGGACTCTTCAAAATAAATCAAATATCCGTGTCGGACGCTGGACACTCGGACAAGGGTATGGGATATGTGTCGGATACTTTTCAACAGACACTTCTTATGTATATAACACAATTATTATATGTACATATTGTTGTATAATAGCTAGAAATGTCTTTTTGATACTGTAAGTTCCATATAGCATCATTTTATCTCACATACTTGATTAAAAATATAAAAATATGATATTTTTTTGCCGAGTTCGTGTACCCTTAAATTTATGATTTGAGGAGTCCAATCTCTTGATACATACTTGTACCTGACACCCATACCCGAGTCCACGTAACATAGATCACGTCTTATTCTTGGGATTCTCTATTTCGGGCACATGTTTCAACTTTAACCATCTTTAACCAGATATCGGACTTCACTAGCTCAAACCATCTCAGATTACTATCCCCCATGCTCCTTCCATACGGACAATTGCTTATCCTTCAACTAACATCTTTGAAATCTAAAGCTTTTAAGTATTTCTTGTTCACAATTATCCTTTACTGTAATTTCTAAAGCTTCCAATCTGTTTTTAGTCAAAAATCTAGTGCATACAAAACCATCCATAATTTTTTGCCTCCGAACTCAGAACAGTCAGTATAATCAAGACACTCCCACTAACAAAATTTCATCTCCTTGAAATACTAGTTTTCAATAGAGATTGAAACTTTTGTTACATGGACTCTTCTAAATATATGAAATAGAAATGTCAACCCCAAGGAGTTGGCCGAGCGGATCTAAGGTCTCAAGTTCAAGTCACCCCAAGGAAACACTGGAGGTTTGCCCGGTCATTACCTTAATGGTTTCGGAATAAGTCGAGATACACACAAGTTGATCAGACATCCATTTATAAAAAAAAATAGCCATAGGCACTTGACATTTGAGTAAAGGTATAAAATATGCATCTTGACATGTGTAGTTGGACACTCACCAAACAAACATATTTAGCAATTTGAGTTACCTACAAAACTATACAAGATAAACCACCCATATTATGGTAACTTGTGAACACCATTTAACCTAGAAAATAAAAGATGTATATCAAGAAATATGGATATTTTGTAGTGTCCTAAGGGGATTAGAAGAATCATACGCTTGGACACATACCCGCACCAGACACCGGAACCCGAGTCTATGTAACACAGAGGTTGAAACCAAGTCCTAATTAAACCAAATTTCAACACCACCGACATGCAAACTTATAAAGCTCCATTAAAGATATATGCTATGCTAATGAACATAAAAAATTCCTCGTCTAAACCCAACTTGGTAAAGGAAGAGACACATAAGCTTCCATTAAATTCAAAAGCTTTACACATAGTTTGCTAATTCTAGTGTTTAATTGGGTTGAAGTAACAAGGTTACAAATTACATGAATATATATAATTCTTAATTGGTATGGGGCTAGTATAAGAGCTTCAAAATCAAACAAGTGAAGAGCAATATATATGTATATATAATCAAAACAAATTACCCGAATTCAAGGGTCAATTGCATCTTTACTGATCCGAGGACTTCGCAGCTATTCGAATTTCGAACCCTAAACACAGACGCGCAGAGAGAGAGAGAGAGAGAGAGAGAGAGCGCATGAGTAAACTTATGCTGGGCTTATTATCTCCTGGGTTGTAAACGATGTCGTTTTTCTTTTTTACATGGTAATCAACTAATTTTTTTTTTTTTTTTTTTTGGGATGCTTTAATTAAGATTATGATGTTAAATTTGTTGGAACAATCTTCTGTGTAAATAAAATAAATCGAAACAACTTCAAACAAAATAAAATAAAACTTACAGAATTTATTTTGTCGAACTAAATAAAATCAAAAGACCAAGTCGAGTGTGTGATACTCTCTCCTTAAGACAGATTCGCAGAGTTACGGTGCTTACGGTTGAGTGGCGTCTATCTCCCAGGATACAATGATCTTCACAAAATTGTTGTAGCACACCAAACAAATTTGTATGGCGAACCAAACTTTGTGTTCTAATACTCTCTTTAAAATATTTTTTTTTGCTAGTATGTTGGTATATATAGGCAACAAGCTCTGACCCGAACAGATGCAATTCCGAAGTGAACAGGTGCAAAGCTATTCACAATTTGAATATAAGATTTGACCGTAGGAAAGAACAAAATTTCAAACAAATTTGAAAAGTTGTCCGTTGGTCAAACAAAGAATTGCTTGGAACTTTATTATTAATAACTATTAGGAATATATATATATATATATATTAAACTATTTGAATAGTATAATAAATAAAGGAAGAGGTACAAATTTTAAGAAACCACTTAGGAATTCAAAATTTAAATTTAGAATTAAGTTAAATTCACATAATTACAAACTTTAGGAAACCACTTAGGAACCCAAAATTTGAATTTAGAAGTAAATTAAATTCCCACAATAATTTTTTTATTGAAAAAATTCAAATGAATTTTATCTAAAAAATTAATGTTAGACCCGAAAACGACGTCAACTTCCCATTCACTCGTAAATGGTTTTGACGTTCCGTCTTCACCGTGTGGTTTGTCACGCGGCAAGGAACACTTCACCTTTTCGAACCCACCCCAAAAGATGTTTTGGAGTCCACTCAATTTTAGGCTAAAAAATATGTTTATATTAAACAATTTTACCAACAATCCCCCACATGAAAGGAATTTGACGGAGAGAAAATGCAACAAGATGATCAAATTTTAGAGAGTACAAAAATTGAAAATATTCTGCCAATGATAGGTAGCTTTTGGCTTTGAACCTTCCCTTGTGAGACACTATCGGATTTACTAGCTAACCAGTGAACATAATGTTTTGAACTGTTCAGCCGTTTGTGTAAACCAAGACAATAGAACTCACACAGTATATCCCCAGACACAGTTTAGTTCTCACTATTGTGTTCATTTTGGCCCTGAACAACCTGGTCTTTCATGAGTGCTCTACAGAATTGTAGCCCTTCACAAAACTCATGGAACTGGCCCAGTTCAAACTCACATAGGTGATTCTTATGTAGAGTATCCTGCCATACTCTACTAGGTTTACTTAGATATAAGAATCATTAAAATTTTATTTAATCTCAAACGCTGCAGACATCACTATTTCATCAAAGAAATGGGTAGGAGTTAGACTCCCCAATGATCCTTCTGAGTCATTCACAACTCGGTTGTCCTTTTGAACCTAGATCTTGGGATCTCCAGTCAACTAGGTTGGGTTGCCGTTGTGGTAACTCTTATTGAATAGGCTTAAGTCCCATTCCCCTTGATGAATTCTCAACTAACTCTCTTGCTAACCCTTTGGTTAATGGATCCGCTATGTTGTCTTTAGGCTTAACATATTCTATGAAAATAATTCCATTAGAGAGTAGTTGTCTTACGGTGTTATGTCGACGACGAATGTGTCGTGACTTACCGTTATATATATGACTCTGTGCTCTACCTATAGCTGATTGACTATCGCAATGTGTGCATATAGCAGGCACTGGTTTTGGCCAAATTGGAATATCTTCAAGGAAGTGGCGAAGCCATTCTGCCTCTTCCCCTACTTTGTCTAAGGCTATGAATTCTGATTCCATAGTAGACCTAGCAATACAAGTCTGTTTAGAAGATTTCCAAGACACAGCCGCCCTACCAAGAGTAAAGACATACCCACTGGTGAACTTCGAGTCTCTAGTATCCGATATCCAATTTGCATCACAGTATCCTTCAAGTACTGCTGGATATCTAGTATAATTAAGCCCAATGTTACGAGTAAATCGGAGATATCTTAGAACCCCTATAATTGCTTTCCAGTGTTCTACTCCCGGATTACTCGTATATCTACTTAATTTACTTACTGCATAAGTTATATCTGGGCGAGTGCAGTTCATCAAGTACATTAAGCTTCTAATAATTTGGGCATACTCTAATTGAGAAATACTTTCCTCTACATTCTTAGAAATATGCAAATTAACATCTACAGGTGTTCTAGCAAGATGATCATCATCTTTGTTGAATTTGTCAAGTATTTTCTCAATGTAATAAGATTGTGACAAAGCATAACCTTCTGATGTTTTGGTAATTTTCATACTAAGAATTACATCAGCAATGCCCATGTCCTTCATGTCAAAATGTTTATTCAACATTTTCTTGGTAGTTTTAATCATGCCATTATTACTACCAATGATGAGCATATCATCTACATAAAGACATACAATGACATAACATTTATCTGTATTTTTAATATAAACACATTTGTCACACTCATTAATTTTAAATCCATTTGACATCATTGCCCTGTCAAATTTCTCATGCCATTGTTTTGGCGCTTGTTTTAAAGCATATAATGATTTAACCAATTTACATACTTTTTTTTCTTTTCCTAGAACAGAAAAACCTTCTGGTTATTCCATGTAAATTTCTTCATTTAACTCATCATTTAAGAAAGCGGTTTTGACATCCATTTGATGAATTTCCAGATTGTATAGAGATGCAATGGCAATTAGCATTCTAATTGATGTTATTCTAGTAACCAGTGAGTATGTGTCAAAGTAATCAAGACCTTCTTTTTGTCTAAAACCTTTGACCACAAGTCTTGCCTTATATTTGTCAATTGATCCATCCGCTTTTATTTTCCTTTTGAAAATCCACTTGTACCCAAGAGGTTTACAACATGGCGGCAAGTCCACTAATTCCCAAGTGTGATTTTGCAAAATGGATTCAACTTCACTGTTGACAGCTTCTTTCTATAAAGGAGCTTCAGGACTGGACATAGCCTCTTTAAAAGTTAAAGGCTCATTTTCTAACAACTATGTTATAAAATCTGGACCAAAAGATTTTGAGGTTCTAGCACGTTTACTACGCCTAGGTTCCTCTTCATCAATTTGATCTAACTCTTGTTTTTTATCATATTCTTGATCCTGACTAGTAATAGCATCATGAGATATTTTATTGTTACTAATCTCTTGTCCAGTTTTATTTGGAAATACATGTTCAAAGAAAGATGCATTTCGAGATTCAATAATAGTATTTACATGCATTTCGGAATGTTCTAATTTATGAATCAAAAACCGATATACACTACTATTCTTGGCATAACCAATGAAAATGCAATCAATGGTCAAGACAATAGAACTCACACAGTATATTCCCAGACACAGTTTAGTTCTCACTATTGTGTTCATTTTGGCCCTGAACAACCTGGTTTTTCATGAGTGCTCTAAACAATAGCCACTTTAGCCAAACACCCCCACACTTTTAAGTATTTGTAGGATGGTACTCTACTATGCCACATTTCATAAGGTGTTTGATTCACTTTCTTTCGGGGTACTTTATTAAGTATATAATTAGCAAAAAGTATTGCTTCCCCCCACAAGTTCTGGGGTAATCCAAAACTTATTAACATGGCATTCATCATTTCTTTTAAAGTCCTATTTTTCCTTTCAGTAATTCCATTTTGCTGAGGTGAGTAAGGAGTGGTGGTTTGATGAATTATTCCATGTTCTTTACAAAATTCACCAAAAGGTGATTCATATTTATCACCTCTATCACTTCTAAGTTTCTTGATTTTCTTACCAAGTTGATTTTCAATTTCATTTTTATATTGAATGAAAGTTTTCAAAGTTTCATCATTGGTTCGAATTAAATAAATATAACTATATCCAGTAAAGTCATCTATAAAAGTGATAAAATACTTTTTCCCACCTCTAGTTTGAATTGATTTAAAATCACAAATGTTACTATTAATTAATTCAAGTGATTCCGTACTTCTTTTAATTGAATGAAAAGGAGTTTTTGATAATTTTGCCTCAACACAAATTTTACATTTATGATTTGAATCAATTGCAAATTTAGGTAAACATTCCATATTAATTAATTTACGCAAAGATCCATAATTAACATATCCTAGTCTACTATGCCATAAATTTGAAGACTCAAGTAAGTAAGAAGAAGATGTATTATTATTAGTAACTGAGGGTACAACGGTTATTACATTTAACTTAAAAAGGCCATCAGACATGTAACCTTTTCCTACATACATTCCATTCTTAGTAAGTACAAATTTATCACTCTTAAATACCAGCCTAAACCCATTGTTACTCAACAGAGATCCAGAAACAAGATTCTTGCGAATGTCCGGTACATGTAGCATATTGTTGAGAGTGAGTTCCTTTCCTGATGTCATCTTGAGAATAATCTTTCATTGTCCTTCAACTTTGGAAGTTGAGGAGTTGCCCATAAAAAGTTGTTCATCATTGTCCATTGAAGAATAAGATGTGAACATATTTTTGTCGGCACAAATATGGCGAGTAGCACCAGCGTCCGCCCGCCATTCTTTAGGATTTCCAACAAGATTTGCCTCGGAAACAACTGCAGAAAGATTGATATCATCTATACCATTGAAAATATTGTCCACTTCGGTCATATGGGCTTGAGCAGGCTTCTTGCTTGTTCTTCTTTTGCTTTTGCCTTTGCTACGGCAATCTTTGGCCCGATGTCCCTCTTTGTCACAGATGTAACATTTACCATTGAACTTGTACTTTTTATTTTCCCCTCCTTTAGAGCCTTGTGATGAACTTTCTTCAGAAGACTTTCGTTTCTTGGTTTTTGAAGCATGTTCCACCACATTTGCCTTAGACTCCATAGGATGCTTACCAGCCC